GGCCAGGCTGTGTGTGTCCATGCACGGGCTGTGTGTGTGTCCATGTGAAGGGGTGTGTGTGTCCATGCATGGTGTGTGTGTGTGTCCATGTACGGGCTGTCTGTGTCCATGTGAAGGGGTGTGTGTCCAGGTGAAGGGGAGTGTGTGTCCATGTATGGGCTGTGTGTGTGTCCATGTATGGGGTCTGTGTGTCCGTGTACAGGGTGTGTGTGTCCATGTGAAGGGGTGTGTGTGTCCATGCATGGTGTGTGTGTGTGTCCATGTGAAAGGGTGTGTGTCCATACACAGGGCTATGTGTGTCCATGTCCAGGTGTGTGTTTTGGAATGTCTGTGGCACCACGTCTGTCCGTGTCTGTTGGCCCCGAGGCTGCCTCTGTGGCTTCCAGAGCTGCCCTCTGGTTCCTTCACCACTGACAGTTTCACAAAGCTATGGCAGATGAAATCTTTTCTTACACATATCTGTAAGAGGGTTGTGTACATGTTGTGTGCAGTGTCATTGCAAGAAATTATCACCTTCCTGTTGAAGCAGTTGTTTGACTTTTATCCCATTGGCACTCATTTTTACAAGCCAGGTTCAACGAGGACCCAGCACAGTTTGCGAGCTGCCTCTGGGCTCTGCTACCTGTTCTTCTTGTCCTTACATTTCTGTTCTTTCAGGGTGAGGCATTCCTGCTCTTTCAGAGGGTGATGCCTCCCCCCAGACTGTGCCTAGGGAACATCAGTGCTGCCATGTCCCACAGGCTAACAGTGAAAGCACTGCTCCTCAGGGTGTTGCTGGGGCATTAGCTTGTTTCTTCTGGCCTTGGACAGCAGCCAAGCTTGTTCTAATTCTGCATCAATCAAACTTCTATTTACCATTTACCAATTCAATCCGTGGCAGGGTTTACGAAGAGCTCCTTATAGTCACACCACAAGCTAGTTTAATTGCCAAGCTCAAGAGGTGACATGCCTTTTTTGTCCCTGGCCCTGGCCCTGACACGTTTTCTCTGCTGCCCTTTGTCCACTTGCTTTTATCCCATTGACACTTGGTTTCACAACCAGGTTCGATGAGAGCCTGTCACAGTTTGTGAGCTATCTCTGGGCTCTGCTTCTGGCTCAGCTCTCCCTGCCCCAGTTTTCTTCTTCACTTGTAAAGCTTCCCACTAAGGCACCTTGAAATCTGCATTAGGCATAGGCATTTACATTTATATCTTTTAAAGTTAATATTGGTCTTTATTCTGATGGTGCGTAATTGCTCCATTCCCTGCTGAGACATTGGCTGGAAAGATTTACCTAGGAGGAGAAGCCTCTGTGACATCTGTCATGCTGCATTTCTGTGCTCTCTGCCTCCAAAGCTTTCAGTAACATACATGTAATATTTCCTACCATCTTGCTGTGATTATGAACTCTTTCCAGCCACTCTGGACTGGGGCAGGAGCTTTCATTGTGCACCCGTATTCTTTTTCAGAGCCATCTTTCCTCCTCTCCTTGTCCCAGCTGCCTTGTGGTGCCGCCAGTGCCTGCCTGCCTGGCAAGTCAGAGCATGTCTGGACCCTGTGGATGAGATGCAGAAGATGGCAGAGCTGCTGAGGCTCAGGGATGAGTGCAGGGAGGGGACTTCAGGGACTGCCCTCGTTGGCTCCTGCCTTGCAGACAACAGACTGAACCTGGATGTTTATCCTGATGGCTGCCACCGTTTCCTCCAGCTGTTCAAGAAGCAACAGGGAGAGGTGGTCCAGGTTGAGTTCCTCCGGCTCAGCAGCAATGATTGCCTCCTTGACATCACACTGGGAAGTCTTCCTCATCTGAAGCACCTGAAATCCCTGGTGCTTAAAGGTAAATTCCTGGGCCCATCACCATCCAGCTTTTCTAGGCTCAGATTTTTTGTTAATCCTCTTCACATCCACAGGACAAACTGCCCTTGGAAGTGTTTTGATGCAGTGCCCCTTACCATAGCTTTGGCTCAGACTTGCTCAGAGCTGAATCAGATTTCAACAACATATAGCTTCTAGACTCTTATTTCCACCCTTTGTTTCTACGCCTGCCTGGGGACGGGGTTTTTTGGAGTCTGGGTTTTTGGAGTTTGGGTTGATGCTACAGTGTTTTCTATAGTCATTTTCTAGAAGAAGAGAATTTTTTGCAAGAGGGGGATTGAAAGGTGTTTGGTAAATGTTCAGCCCCTCTTTAATTTTTGGGAGTATAATAAGCTGTCTTTGCTGTGTTTCTGTCTGTATTAATCCATGCTTAATCTTTGCTTGCTGTCAGTGACTGTAGATTTAGCAGAGTTCAAGACAAACCAGAGTAGGCTCATTCAGTTAAACATTTTATCTAAAGTAGGACAAAGGGTGTGCATGTAATTTGGCAAAGCATAATAACTGTTAGAGCTATAAATATTAGATCATTCTTTGACTGTCTCATCTGTTTATTGTGGGAGGATCTCAATACAGTTTGTATAATTTCTGTATCAGACTGAATCATTTGCTCTTTGGGAGGCAAAATTTTAAAAATAAATGAGAAAAGAAAGGGGGAGTTTGGGGGCAGAATTCAGGGTTCTAGCTGAAAACTGATAAGTCTGAGATTTGTTTCTATATCTGTCACAGATTTCTCATATGAATAATTTGATTTGTGTTTTCCCTCTTTAGTAAAGTGGCAGTAACAGCAGTACCTTTTATCAGTCTTGTTTTGTGAGATGTACACATACCCTGAGCATCCTGACGTATAAGTAGTTCACTAAGATCTTATGTACAAAGTGCAAGGTGCCTGTTAGTTTGGTTGCTCTCATTTTGTACCATTATGCAGCATAAAAAAATGTTTGGTGCCCTCTGCTGTATATGGATATAAATAGAAAACTGTGGAGAAGGAGTATGAAACAATGAACAAGTGGAAATGTTTGGAAGTCTCCTTTTGTTTGCTCAAGTTATTTTCCAGGGGTGCGACCCTTCTCCAATTTGAGTGTCACAAGCTGGGATACGAAACTCTCATTCTTCCCTGTCTGTGCTGTCTGCCCTACAAAATACTGAATTACCTAATTTTCTCCCCACATCTTCACTGCTTTCCTCGTGTCTGTCTGCAAAATACTGAATTACCTACTTTTTCCTCCCACATTTTCACTGTTTTTCCTCATGTGTGCCCCCCAGTCTTGCAAGGGCAGATTTCAGTGCTCAGGGCTGCTTGCTTCTCAACAGCATGGATAAAAGCCTTGAGGGCAAGGACTATTTCCTTGATGCATAGAGCGTTGTGTGTTGGCCACTGGTAGTGAGAAAGAAGTGGGGAAGGAGAGTGGGAGGCTTGGAAGTATATGGGCCACCCTGCTGAAGTGTGGTAAACGGGGGTGGCCTGGCTCATTCTGAGCTTTGACTCCAGATGTATTTAGCAGAGCTGTACTGGTTCACTGTGGCATCTCCTGATTTCATAACAGCTCTTCACTATTATACCCCTTTCACTGATCAGGAAACTGAGGCATGGAGCAGAAAATTCACTTCTCTGAGTACTTTGTGATTAGTGCTGCTTATTTTGATCAGTACCTCCCAGTCTTGTGGATCTCTGTGCTAAGTCTCACATGAGGCTGGTGAGCTCTCCTGGTAACATACTGACCTCTTCCTCCACTTCCCTCCACCCAGGTGGCCATGCTAGGGATGAGTTTGGTTCCTATCAGCGTGGCTCCCTGACAAACTTGCCGCCAGACTTTGGGAATCTCAGGTGTCTCACCCACCTGGATCTCAGCTTCAATAGACTCTCCACCTTGCCAAGCTGCATTCTCCACCTTCCCAGCCTCCGTGTGCTCCTGGTGAGTCACAACAGTCTGGTGACACTTCCTGAGGACTTTGGCTGTCTGAGCAAACTGACTTTCTTCTCAGCGATGAAAAATCAGCTAAAAGGCTTACCTCAGAGCATTGGGGAGCTGTCAATGCTGCAGGATCTGGATCTCTCAGAAAATGCTTTGGAATTGCTCCCTGAAGAAGTTGGGAATCTGCACAACTGCACAGAACTGGATCTCTCTGGGAATCGCTTACTGAGCATCCCAGACTCCCTAGGTATGTATTTTACTAGGGAGGAGAGGAACATGGGCTTGCCAAGCTTTTGGTACAACCTCTGAGACCCTTAGTGTCTGTCCCCAGAGTTGTTGGCATAAACCATGTCCATACTGGAGCCAAATGGAAGGGGTATCCAGGAGGATCATGGTTGGTTCAGTCAGTGCCTTTGAGCATTAGCAACTCTCTGAACCACACTGTTTCTGTGAATCAGCGATACTGCTGAGATTTCAATACAATTTACAATGACGAAGAGCTGAGGTTTGATGGGATGCAAATCTGGGCTTAAAAGCACACTGTCCCCTGTGGACCAGTCCACAGGACTGGACTCTTGACTTCTGCTGCCCAGCTTCCTGGGTCCTGTATTACTTTGTGACTGAAGTTGTTTTTGATGCTGTTGTGAAGTCTTAAGACTGCAAGTCTTCAGACTTACAAATAAGAAGTGTCTTACCTGTAGCTGAAAAGCAGAGAACAGAGAAGGTTGGGTTGCTTCTCAGCTAATTCTTTGCACTCCTTTATTTTCAACCTGCAGCCAATTTGAAGTCTCTGCGTCGGCTGCATCTCCACAGCAATCTCCTGGTGACGGTCCCTGCCTCGCTTGCCAGCCTGCCCAACTTGTCCAGACTTGATCTGCAGAACAACTGCCTCCGTGCCATCCCTGCTGAGATCCAGACCTTGCCATTTGTGCACGTCCGAGGCAATCCCTTGGGAGAAACTGAACCGTCCCCGCAGGCTGGTAATTGCAAGGCTTCTGCTGCTGTGTGTTCTGCCCAGCTGTTCCCTCACTCAGCACAGCATGGCGTAGATGGGTTTGGATTAGAGAAGGCAAGCAGGGGGGAATCAGATCAGCATTTATTTCTTTGGAATAATTATTAAGTTATAAGGATACAGACAGTACTAGTTATGTTTTTATGAGGCCTATCCCAGTCTGAAGGGCTCAGCGGTCCTAGGAATTGGACTTTCTTGGTAGGGTTTTACAGTGGAAGTGAAAATGGGGCTCACAGGAAACAGATCAGGAGAGGTCCCTAAAGGGGTCCTGCCTTTTTAGCTGAGGTGAGCACCAGTTCCTGGACTTGCTAAGGCTGTGGTGGCTCATGCTAGAACCTCAGGGAACAGCAAGGAGTCATTCTGCTGTGCAGTTACCTCCTGCTTTCCTGAGGTTCACAGGCTGCAGAGGAGCAGCTCTTTGTCCAATAGGAACGTGGTTAAATGAGCAGGAATCTGATCAGGGTTTCCCAATGGTGCTCATGTTCACTGATTCCCGGGGGTGGCCCAGGCAATCAAACATGGCCCTGAGAGCTGCAGGGGTAAACTGAAAAATTTTCTAATTCCCTCTGCATCTGAGTTTCCCTAGGGGAGAGACAGCATTTTCTGTATGTCTTGGGACTTTGAGGCCTCATGCCATCATCTTGCTGTGGTGTGTTCTGGAGCTCACTGCAGTGTGACCAGGATTCCATTAGCTTCTGTCAGATTAGGATTAAGCCAAAACTCTTCAGCCTTTCTTGTCTACCTTTGTTTAAGTACCTCTATCTCCTTCTATCCAAATCTTCTGCTGCAGATAAATCCAGTACCAGAAGGCTAAAAGAACTCATCCTTGCATCAGGAGAGGGCAGGTAAGCCTCTGTTACTAAGAACTTGTATTACTGTGGTGTAAAAGGGTCCCAGACAAGGTGCATGGTGGGTATTGCAGGAATGTATAGGAGCTTATAGCCTCAGTAGGCCAGTCAAACACAAGTATGAGATTCTTCTGTTGATTTTTGGAGGGCTGAAGTCACTACACAATGTCATAAATGCATGCATTTCTTCTGGAAGCTTTACTGTCACCTCTGAAGGCCGCAGAGTGGTCCTGGCCTGTGGCATCCATTTCTACTTTCCGCCGGGGGCCACCTCTGATCCTCTGCGGATCTGCTTCCGATCCCTCATGCCGGATCCTCAGTGGGTAAAGCTTAGACACCACGATGTCCTGCTGAGTCGAGTCCTGGAGCTGCAGCCTCATGGGGTCCAATTCCAGCAGGTGAGGATACACCCAGGTCACCTCCTGATGAATCTACCTCTGCAGTAGCTCAGTGGAGTCTTCTGAGAGCGCTTTTTGGACCTTTGAGACAGTTACCCTATCTGCTTATCTGATAGCTGCAGTTATCCCTGGTGCTTTTAAGTAGCTACAGGACCACCTCTCAAAGAAGTCCTGCTGCAGAGAATCAGAAAGGACACAGCCAGCTTCTCTAATGCTGTGCTGGTCTGGCACCTTTGCCTTCCCCACTGCTCCTGATTGAGCTGAGCTATAACCTTTCTCAATCACAACCCCCCCTGCTCTACCAGAGGATAAATCCAGTGTCTGGCCTTAGCCTGAAAGAAGGATGGTTTGCATCCTTCTCTGAAAGTCTGTTTGTGTGGTTTGTGTTCAAGCTGAGGAGTAGTCACACCACCTACCAGCTCCATCATGGCTGACAGCAGCTCACTGCAAAAGTTGCTTTGCCCTTTCTGCTCAGAAGCTACTGAACTTTTCCTGCCATCACAGTCCATAGCAGATCTGACATTTCCTGTCACCTCCCCAGAGACTGCATGGCAGAGCAGGTTCTTTGATTCCCTGTGTACAGGCCATGCTCTGCTCTCCCTCTTGTCTGCATAGGAAGTCACAGAGCAGAGCTAGGCTTGGTTTTATCCTTTCAATTGGTGTCTCACAGGAATGCTTTTTTGGCAGGAGGTGCAGATCTCTATGCCATGTATCTCACCTCAAACACCTCACCAGCATGAGGTGGTAGTTCGGACCTTCAGTGGGCAGAGCTGGAGTGATCTGAAAACAAGAGTGAAGCGGAAGAGAAAATCAAAGGTGAGCAGATTGAAATTACCAGTGACACACTTTGTTCCCGTTTCCCTCTTTGGCTGTGCCCAGCCAAGAGTGAACATATTTGGAATATCTCATTAGCTGTGTTTTGACCAGCTGCTATAAAATGTACTGAATTTCAGCTCCAGGTTTCCTCTCATGGAGGTGTGTCTCCTGAAGTTGATAAGTGACAGCCTGCCATGCTTCATCCCTGATCTAGTACTTTCTTCTGTTTGGCTGGTGCTCGTTTTCCTGCCTTTATTGTATTAAGTTATATGCCTATATGTTTTCTCCTTTGTCCTCTTTTACAGAAGTGTGTGGCTCACTGTTGTGTCCTTCACTTCTCTTGGTTCCTTGTCGTGTCTCGACTTGTGCAAAATGAATGCAAAGTGCCAGCTGAGGGGACATTGCTCTTTTCCAGTGTGGATCCAAACATCAAAGTGATCTTTCCTCCTGGAGTCACCAAAGAGCCTCGTAGTGTCAAGCTGCAGGTATGCATGCTTTTTGGTGATCTCTGGTGCAGCTGTTTTCTCATGTTCAGTACAGCACTGAACAGAGATGTCTGCCCTAGGGTAATTCATGTCTAGACGTGGTTGCTTCATGGGCTGACCCATCTCAGATCACCTTCTCTCTTAACTTCCCTGCTTGCAGCATGGACCTTGCTCCATGCTGCCCTGTGTAGGAAAGGGACCTCCAGCAGATCAGTGGGTAGCAGCTATGAAGGGAACACAAGAAGATTTTTCTTCTTTTTCCCTTGCAAAACTGACCCTTGCAAAACAGCTCAGTGAGAACTGGGGCTGGTGGGGGAATCTAAAGTGGATCTAACTCTAAAATCACTTCACTAAAATTAGTTGTTCTGTAGAGCTGCTAGATGCTCTTGTAATACTTTAAGTCCATCCCAGCCCAACAGGTTGCCAGACTTTAGCGAAAGTTCACTGTGCTTTATTTCACAATGGGCCTTGCAGCAAGAGCAGCATTTGCTTGCTGGGTGCTGGAGGAACTGAGTGAGCAGTGTGGGAATTTGGTGCCTGACTGCTCACTGTGCTGTCTGCCACATCCAGGTGCTGCCAGTCTCTGCAGAAGAGATACAGGAAATCACAGCCAATGCAGGGTGCAAAGCCAGTCCCCTGCTCTACCTCTCCCAGGACTCCACGGTGGATTTTCTCAAGCCAGTGAGAATTCAGCTGCCTCTTCCACCTGGGGTCACAGGTCAGCTTATTCCTAAAATTGATGAAAGGAAATGCTATATTTGGAAAAGAGAGAATTTTGTTTGCATTTCCTGTTGTTAATAAAGCTTGCTGCTTTTCCTGCAGGAACAGCAAGGTGTGTCCCCTGACTGTGTGGTGGTGCAGAGCAGTGAGAGCTGAAGGTAGTTCAGGTCCATCAGATCAGGGCTGGGGTTCACAGACCAGAAAAGCTGGGAGAATGTTCTGTCAAAAGGATTTCTCTGCCAAAACACATGTGTATTTAAACTGCTGGTTTTACTGTGGTGTATTGGAGAGGCACTCCTGCCCACTGAGGAGATGCATTGTAAAAGGGCTTTTGATTTGGAATAGCTTGAAGCAGGAAATGAACATGCTGCCTCCTGGGCTCCGTCTTCTCTTTTCCTTGCATATGAATCAGGTGCTGAGCCATTGCATTTAAAAATATATGATTGTATGCTAAGCCACATCTCACTCTGAAAACTGCTAAAACCAGCCTCAGTCATGGCTGGGATTCCTCTGTTTGCTGAATACCCCGAGTCTCCTTACTTGTATTTTCTTTGACCTCACTTGGTTTTCTTGTGAAGAAATACATGGCCTTCATTATAACACTACCTGGTATTTGTATGCCTGAAGTGCATCAGGATTGCAAAGTCTGTGAGATGTACATTAGAAAGAGACGGAACTTAATTAATAACCCTAGATTTTAGTGATGAGAATTGTAGAATGAATCTGTTGGTGGGAATGAGCACACTATCATTTTAACTCTTCATATTTTGCCAGAATATCCCAAAAGCAGTGGGATAGCCTGGTCCTCTTATTGCTGCCCTTTGACCAAAGTTCAGTCCTGGATGCTGAAGAGAAGGCCATGAACTCTTATTTGGTGGCTTTACAAAGTAAATCACACAAACCTGTAGTTGACTTTGTAAAGCCATGAGTAAAGGCTTCTGCTGCATATAGCATCTCTTGATCATTGGTGTATTTAGGGCTAAATTTGGATCGGTCAAGACTGCATATTCTCCATGGTGACCTGGAGGGCCAAACCTGGAATGATATTACCAGTGATGTGGTGCTGGAATTCACCCATCTTTATGCAGTGTTTGAAGTCACTCACTTCTCCTGGTAAGTGCAGGATTAGTCCTGAGGAAAAGATGGGATGTTCCTCTGCCTTGTTTTTCCCACACTCTGACCAGAGGCCATGACATTAACTCTATCTGTTCCCTTCTCCTTTTGCAAGTCAGGCCTGGCATAGCACTTTGTTTCTACCTGTCATTCTTTCCAATCATGTGGGTGTGACACTGGCACCTTTCTCTCAGCACATTCCCTCCTTTTTTTAAAATTCCTTGTCTTTAGGTACTGGCTGTGGTACACCACCAAGACCTACATTGGAGGCATTGCCAAGAAGGTCTATGAGCGGCTGCGTCTGTACCAGGTGAACTTCATTGCACTGCAGAGGAAGAATGATCCTGAGCAAGTCCTGCTACAGTGTGTCCCCAAGCACAAGGTCTGATCTGGGTTGCACTGCCTTGTTCCTGAGCTTCTCAGACTTCCCTTTGTAGGATGTAAGGGCAGCAGGGCACCGAACGGTCCTGTTTACCAGCCCAGAGTCATGGCTGGGGTATGCTGTCACCACACTGTTGGTGGTGTGATACTGACTCACAGGGAGCTGGGGGAAGAAAAAAACTCATTCTATGCAGTGGTAAATGTCATGCACTGATTTCCTCCCCTACAAACCCTGAAGACTGGGCTGCTGACATCATCTGAACAGAGTTACTGGCCATGTATATGCTATTACCATCCAGCAAACATGAGGCAAAACATGTTGGCTTAAATTTAAGTCAAAGTTTACGTGTCACTTGTCTGACATGGGATAGTGGTGTGGGTAGCAGCACTGCTCGTTTTCAGCTGGACTAGTTAGAAATGGTACTTTAACTTATATTCCTTGTTGTTCTCAGTTCAAACACTGGAACATAACATACGAGCACTCCTTAATCTGCTTCAATGCAACATCAGGTTAGTTCATGCTATGAGTGTGAGCTAATCTGGCTGATTTTGTCAAGAAGGAGATGGGAAGTGCTCATGCTTTCTCTTCTGCTGCCTCTTCCTAGGGGTATCAGCCCTCAGCAGTGTTGTTTCAGATTAGTGTATGAGTGTGCAGCTGTGGAGAACATGTCCCTTGGCAGGCAGTGCAGCTTGGTGAGGCGAGGGTTATTTTATCAGACTGCCACTACTGAACTGCATATCCAGCCCTGCATAATTCTCTGCTCTGGTTGCTCCTTTTCCTTACCTGTGCTCCTGTGACCTGTGGACACAAACATCTGCAAGGATTTTTTATATTGGGTTCTGGGCTAAAACTGTCTCCAGATGAAGCATCAGTGACACTCAGAGTGAGATTGCAGTTTGGGTGTGTCTGTAATCCTGCTAGGAATGGTCATGGAGTGAGAGAGGTTTACTGTTACAAATAGAAAGAAGAATCTAACCTGACTCTTGCACTGCCACTGTGATCACATGCTACAAAGTCAAAATGAGCTTTGGGGTGTCCTCAGCTGTGTGCTATTGTAGCATGTCTTTTTGCAGAGAAAATGTATTTAAATAGTGAGTGGGATATGGTAGTAAGTAAATCCCTCCTTGCCTTTGAAGTTATAAAGACCTGTTAAAAAGATAGAGACAGCACTGAAAATGCTTTTTTAGTGGGTGTTTGTTCATTTGTTTACATCCTTTTCACATGAAGTAGTCTTCCCTGTTGAAGGTGAGAGGAACATCATGGGTATAGAAACATGGGTTGAGGGAAAGATGTGCTTCAGTCCAAACACTGTTGTCTTTGTCAGGTTGACCCAGTGCTGAAGAAGCTGCAGAACCGCTATCGAGGACCTGAGCCATCCGACATGGTGGAGATGTTTGAGGGAGAGCAATTTTTTGCAGCTTTTGAGCGAGGCATCAGCATTGATATGGGTATGGCAGTTCTGGGCTCGTTCTGCTCCTACCTACCTACCTCTTGTCCTGCTCTGGCCCTAGACATGTTTCTACTGTGGGTGACACTCCTCCATGGTGTTCCTCTCTGTCTCCAGCCTGCCCACTGCTCACAGCAGCCAGCCCCTGGACATTGAATTTATCACATTCTCTGGTCACACAAATTTCTGTTTGCTTTTCTTTATGAAAGTGCTGTTTGCAGACTTTAATTTCTTCTCATGCTCTTGTAAACCTGCAGAGTGCAATAGCCAGGTGGGTTTATTTTTATGACTGATCTGCTTCTGCACACTTTTCTCCACAAGTTGAATCCTTCCTGCTTCTCTGCACAGATCGTCCTGACTGCGTGGATGGACGTCTCTCATTTATTTTTTACTCCCACTTGAAGAACATGAAGGAAATCTATGTGACCTCCCCTGTGGACAGAAAAGGCCAAGCTGTAAAAGGCCAGGTGAGCAACCAGTTGCACTGACTTCTTGTTTCCTCCTTCATCATGGCTTTTACAATACTCATCATAATGATCTCTGAGTGGTGGGCATGACTCTTTTCCTACCCTCTTTCTCTGGCTTTGCTTTTCACTGACTAAACTCTGAATAATCAAGAAGTGTAATCTTGAAGGATCATTCATCACTTAACTGTCTGACTTACATTCCTGCCATTAATTTTTGGGGTGCTGGCAGGCAGTCCAGCCTTTATGACAGAACCTCAGTGCTCCTCCCAGTTACACGTAATTGAGAGAGCATATTTTTGGGCTGAGGATAGATGAGAATGCTGAATTCATTCTTTTCCAAATGGAAAAGACATGGTGCCAATAGGCTAGGCCACTGTGTTTGAATCAGAGCCTCACTGTATGATTTCTCTTTACAAAGGTCTCTTTCTACCGAGGGGCAGTTCCAGACAGCATCCCTGAAGATGCCAGCAGGAGGAGAAAAGGTCCAGACTCCCTCTGGCTTGCTACTCTGCCCATCAAACTGCCTGTGAGTTGTCTCCTACAGAAAAATTAATCTAGATGGTGTAAGAGCATGGCATTCCTGCTCAGCTAATTTTGTTTTCCTCCATGAGAAGGCACGCAGTGAATGAGCACAAGAAATAGCTGCCCAGCTGTGTCATGGTGGAGATTTTACACTCCCTGTGTGCGAGCTCTTCTGAAACCAAAATGTGAAGAGCTGGGAGTGATCTCCACCTCTCCTGCTCATCTTGCCTGTCAAGCACAGGCTTGTTGAATGGGTGGTCAGAGAGTCAGCAAGGGTGGATCCTTTGAAAAAATGAGAATGTAGTATGCAAGGAAGCTCCCTGTAATTAAGGAAAGCATCTGTTTTGTTTATAAATTTCTTTGTCACACAGCTCATGCAGCAGGAAAAAAGAAGACAATAGGATGAGGTAGTTATGCTGGATTTGAACATTGAATGTAGGTATTGTGGTGTGAGCTTTAAAGGCTAGGCTGTATGTTACAGTGAGAAATGCAGTTTTTGCTTAGGGAATTTCAGTGACATTTGAGAAGCGTGAAACAATAAATACCTTGGTAGGCTGAATACTTTCCTTCCGATCACGTGTGATGATCTCACATCCCTTTCTGACACATACAACCTCAGCTACAAACCTAGACTAAGTGCTCTCTTACTGCTGAGGCAAATACGCTTCAGGGATGTGGCTTATTTTAAACTGCACTGTAAATGCAGGAAAGGAAATTTCCCATGCAAGCTATGACTGTGAGCACTACAATTCAATAATTTCCTGAGGCAGTGAGCATTGCTGGTCACTGCCAGTGTGAGTCCTGCTTGCTTCCTACAGCCTGACCCTTCAGCCCCAAGAACTTCCTTTCTCCCCAGCAGAAGGAAGGAGATTTCACTGTGGAGACTGAGTGGCTGGACGCTGTCCTCTATGAAAATAGATGGTAGAGGAAAGAATGTTCTTTCTCTCTCTTCTTTCTGACACAGCAACTGAAACCCCGCTGGGATGAGAACCCCTGTTCCCTACGTGGCTTCTCCTTCCCTCCCTTGAACTTGGGCAATGCTGAGACTGGGTACCTGACACAGGCAAACCTGCTGAACATTGCCAGGCGCGTGGGAGCTGACTGGCAGAGCATCGGCCTCAACCTGGGCCTGACCTACCAGCAGATTGAGCGCATAGGATACAATAACAGGTGAGATGGGACACAGTAACCAACAGTGGTGCATTACATCTGTCTCTCCATTTATCTGCAGTGTAATAGCATAAATCAGTGCTTGGCTGGTTGGAAGTTCTTCCACTGTAATTGTTTCACTGGATTAAAGATGGGTTGACTAATGGGTCTTCTGAAAGTAATACCTTTTATAATGGGAAACTGATTCTTTTCTCTTGCCATTTTAAAATAAAGCTTTTTTTGTTTGAAAAACAAAATTGGGAAATAACAAACCTGATGAGCTTTGTAGTTCAGCTGAGTTGCATTCCTCTTTTGTTCTATGATCGGATTCCTGGCCAGACTCCATCTCTTACAAAGAGAAATGATCTATGGCTTTAATTGTGAATATCATCGTTATTTAAAAAGAGCTTGTGGTACATCATGGGACATGCACCCTGACCAAAAAGCCAAAGCAGTAGAAGAGAATTAGACTTGTTATGATCAAACTAATGTTCCTGTGAGGAAATTATATTCAAAAGCAAAATACCTTAATTTGATACTTCCATTAGGAAAACATTTTATAGAGAAATGTTCATGCAGGAACTGCAACTCCCCTATGCTGGGTGGGGAAGAGGCAGGCCCACTGAGTGCTTTGTGTGTCTGGATGGCTTCTTTAAGGCTCTAGCTGGGGCTGGGACTTCGGTAAGGTCTCTTTGGTTTGCTACTCAGGAGAGCGTGTTGGTTACTTCTGTCCTTCCTCCTTTCTTCAGAGAGGACCTCAATAAGCAGATCCTGGACATGCTTTTCTCGTGGGCTCAGCAGAACTCAGAGGATCCTGACTGTGTGAGCAAGCTGATTACAGCCATGAAGGAGAGTGGCCGCCAGGACATTGCTGATGAGATTGAAGCCATCATTGAGCTGGGACGGAAGAAATACAGCGAGTCCATCCGCCGGGTAGGCCTGGAGCAGGAGAGCAGCACTGAGGACTCTGCAATAGCTATGATGTAGCACCTAGCAGAGAAAAATGGGGTTTGTATGGGACCCCTCTGTGTACCCAGAGTGACAGTGCCTGGGGGCTGCTCCCTTCTCAAGAGCCAGTGTCTTCCTGAGGAGCTGGGCATTGATTCTCTTGGGTCTGTACTCACATACCACTTCTGCCAGTCCCAGGAAGTTTAGAGTGCAGTTATGAACCGATTTTCTACTTCTACTTCATGACCTTGAGCTTTAGCTTTCAGAAATGTGGAGAAATTTAGAGACTGAAATGTCTGTCTGTCAGCTGAGAAGTGGCTTAAGTAGTGTTTGATGAATTAATACTCATGTTACATGTGTTCATGTATAACTTATTCCTGAAACTGGAAACACTGCTGGAAGCACTGGGTGTGATGTGGTGGGGACTGTTCAGCCATTTCTGTTAATGATGTGTTCTGCTCACATGAAAATGTGAACCGTATTCCTCATGAAAATGTTTTATATTTTTTTCAAAATCTCTTCCAGTTTTCTTAAGTCCAAAAAAAACCTAAGTATTTGTGGGGAAGAAAGAAGAAACTGATTTCTAGAAAAACTGCTCTTTTTTTTTTGTTTTGCTCCAAAAGCTATCATGAAACAAATAGCCTGCTGCACTTGCAAGCACATTTTTAGATAACACCTACATACTGCTGATCTTTGACAAAGTTCCAGTTATAGTTCATTAAAAAAAAAAAACAAACGTAAAAATACATGAACTGTTCTGGGAGAGACTCTGATTTAAGGGAAATTAAGCTTTCCATTGCAGTTTCCAAAGGGTAGTCCTCACATCCTCCCAGTGAAATGTGACTGTGTAGTAGTGAATGTGGGACCTCTCCTGAAGTTTGGTGAAAAGCATGACTTAAATTTGCATTTTAAAAACTGGTCTGACCAGCTGTGAAATAAGGCACTGTTGTGGGTTTGGCAGGAACCATGCTGAGCTAACTTCTCGGTTTTTCAGCCTGAATATCTTGTATAAGGCTGGAAGCATTTACTGCTTTTTAGCTGCTCAGTGATTTATTACTGAGGTACCCTTCTCTTCTTGGTCCTCATCTCATAATGGCCCTCAGTTAATGACCCACTAATGACAGTGGAAAATCACATGCAAGCTTTTTGAAAGATTACTGTCTGAATTTAAGTAAATTCAAGTCTTTCAAGACAGGTTTGAATTCAGCATTACTCTCTAAACATTACTTAAATGGCTGTTCTTAGTGTGAAAAAACAAAAGTGTGTTTAAATGTGCCAGGTTGCACCACCCAAAGTCAACGTGCAGTTGCAGGTTGGATAAATCCAGGCATTTTCTTCTCCTTGTGAAGAATCATCAGTGGCTTCCCTGATGCTGCTTCAGACCTACCATCAGTATTATTGAAAGAGAGATGTAAAATCATTCTGCTTTTTCTCTCATTTCAGGCTGTTCTAACATCTCAGGCTACAGAGTGCTGACTGTCCAGTCCAGAGCACTGGACAACAGTTTGCAGATTTCAGTTGTAACTCTAGGCCTAGCCCAAGTCTCATGTTAGGTTCAAGTCAGCAGTGCTCCTTTGAATGTCCATTTTCTCTTGTATTCTGTGTCATATGTTATTGTTTGTAATTTTCATGGATACCAACAAGGTATTTGTTCTTTACTCCAGTTTTGGAGAGATGCATTTGAGCATATTGCTCTTACTGGGAATAAAATCAGCACTTAACTGTTTCACAGCATGGTCTGCAATTCAGTGGATGCCTTGAGTTAGATGGAGACTGGTCCCTTTAAACCTGCTGGCAGGTCACAGGTGAGCTTGGCTGTGCTGTGCAGAAATGGGAGGAGAGCTCCTGTTTGGATACTGCGGATTGCAGAGCACAGGACAGACTGCAGCTGAGTTCATGGTGTCCCTGGAGGGTGGCTTTGCTGCAGTGGGGCTATGCCAGGAAACAACCTTCAGGGAATGAGCTGAGCTCAGGTGGAGCAGGTCTAGGGAGCAACAAGGCTAATCTAGAAGGGACAGTGTGAGGGGTAAGCCTGTCCTCTGGTGAAGGTGTAGAAGAAGCACAAGGTAGCGTCCACAGCCACAGCATGACGAAGCTTGGCTGCACTTAGCTTTCCATCTGTGATAGTCAGGCCAAAGCTGAGTTAGGCAATACTGAAATAAAGGATAGGTAGGCTGGACTCTGTGGAGGACTCATCCAGGCATCAGCAGAGCTACAGCTCTTCCAGGAAACAGCTTGGTGCCAAGAGAGAGGAAGGTCAGTGCCAGATGTTCAGATTACTCTCATAATGGGCTGCAGCCAGGCCAGGTGACAGCAGATACAAAACCCTAGACAGTTTAATCAGTAGAAGAGCTCTTCAGGATTTGGGCTGGTAACTTAAGGAAAGGTAGGTATTATACCCCAGACAAGGATTGTTATCTCCAGTCTTTCCCTGCTGAGTCACAGCCACTGGGCTGGGCCTCCTTGCATGCATCTGGCTTTTTCCTTGAAGTGACACCAAAGCAAGCACCGAGCTGAGGACACCGAGGTGCTGGCGGGAAATCAGAGCAACTGTTCAACTGCTCTTTCCTCAGCTGACTTGGCAGCAAATATTTGAGCTGGATGAGAGTCAGTGGAAAACACTATTTTGAGGTGTGTTATCTTTATCAATAATCTCTTTGAGGCACAATAAGTCTTTCATAAGCCTATAGTTGCTATGGCTGATAACAGTTGCATTAGATGATTGATTGAAACAGCAAAAGAAATAACTAACCTGGCATTTATGTTTTGAATCAAATTATGGCATTCTTTTCTAACTCCTGTTATGCATTCATCACATACTGGAGTAGTATCTTTCTCTTTCCAGCTATCTGGCTTTTCCTGATGCCTAATATGCACCTTACAGTGTCTCACACATGATCTGGCAGATTTTATGGTTTTTATGGTGCATGATCCCAATGTATCCAAAATTCTCCTAAATAAATTTTTACCAGGAAAAGCCTACTTACAAAATTTTTTTAAAACTAAAGCAAGAAATTGCTTGGGAGTAGGAACATTTTTTCTCTTTTATTTTTTTCTGTAACATTTATAGCTCTTTAACTCTCATAGTTAAACCCTTTTCTACTTCATAAACTTGCAGATCTCCAACAAAATGACCTGGGTATTTCCCACATACCACTTCAAGTTTCTTCCAACTATGACAGCCCTCTAGCTGCCAGGACAGATCCAGCTAAGATGCTCCTACAGATATTAATAAAAAAAACCAAAACAAAAAAGCTGAGAAATGAAAGCCCAGGCAAAGCTCAAATCTGTTTATTAATTCCATAAAAAATACAAGGGAAAGCCTGATTATGTTCTGCAGGGGGTTAAACTGTTTACACAGTCCTGTCAGTAAAATGCTGTATAATTCCCAGTAAAAGACCTGACTGAAATACGAAATTGAGAGTGAGCCCAGAGGGGCTGTGTTCAGTTTCTCTGTATACTGTGGGCAGGCAGCAACACTGTAAAAGTCAGCACATCCATAGGATTGCACTGATAAGGGACAGGAGATCCCTGAGGACTGGATGGTGCAGCCATGAACCTCCTGAGCTTGATGCCAAAACTGAAAGAGCGTTAGAAGACGCCCAGTTTGTAAGATTTCCTGCTGCTTGGTGTAGGAACCTGGCCGAGGTCTGGTTGGCTCCCACCTCGGGACCATGTCGGTCAAGAGTAATGGTGATGATAAAACAAAAGGACGGGCACGATGGAGTAACCTGAAACATGAGGGTAAATGAGGGTAAAACAACAAATGAGGTAATCTGACCAGCAAGTGTAGGGTGAACTCCAAAGGCCAGGGCCAAGGTAAGCACAAATATATATATTTATATATAAAGTATATAAGGGGTAGGTTTGGGGTGGAATCTGAGGGTAAGGGTCCAATAAGAAACAATGATTAGGAATATGCAGAACAACGTGACACTCCAAAACCAATCAGAGGAAAGAACTGGGGAACTTTCTAGAACCACAATCTTATAAAGAGAGAACATGCCACTTTCCCACGGGGTTAAGCTGGGAGGGTACTGCTCACCCTAACTTTAACACTGGCCTACAGACAAGACTCCTGTGGTTTTAGATTGATATTTATGGTCTCATTGGCTCCAACAGCTTCAGACATGCTTATGTTTATACTTGACAGTGTGATATGGCTGTTTTTTCCAAAAGGGAAAGAAAATCTGATGGCCCTTAAATTCCCTGTTTTCCTACCAAGGGAGAATCACCCCATATTTTCAGCCTTTAACACAAGAGTGGCTTTCACTGCTTCTCTTGAAAGGGAGTGGGACTGGCTTTCAGTCACTGGTGCATCAAAACCCCAGCCCAGGGCTGTGTCAAAGTGAGCCCACCATGCTTATCAGTTGGTATTGTTAAAATGAAGAAAACAGTGTTTTCTGCAACTGTGTATTCATTTCCTGAACTCCACAGAAATAAACTGTGTGTCCTTAAAGCACCATTTTGCTCTAAATCTGTCTTTAAAATCTGTGAGGAGAGTTTGACCCTTGTTCCAGTTTCCATCTACCTTGAAAGAATTTGGTGTCTGGCAAATATAGAAACTAGGCAGGCAAAATGACCATGCCCTTATTCTTCCTGTCTCACAGTAGATCTGTAGGTTGAACCCATCCAGAAGGATGTTGGGGAGCTGGAGCTGAGATCCTTCTGCTTGGTTTGCTCACTGAACACCAGTGCAGTTCTTACCTTTTCCAGACAGGAGATGGTACAACAGGAAAATGTGCAAGGGGCAGGAGGGATGCTCAGAGATGAGTCCTACAGAGCATTTTAAACTCTTCTCTTATAGCAAAGTATTGCATCTCCTGGGAAAGGATGAAGACTGTGAATACATGGTTGCCATCTACTGTATCTCAGCTAGGTGGCACCAAATGAAATAGTCCAGTATCACCCTGCAAATCAGCAACAGTGATTTTTTTTCTCCCCCCTATGCATAGTTCTAATGCTGACTCTACTGTGGGATGTTTGACGCCAAAACATAAATGTTATATTCAGAAAGTGATTGATTAAATTGGAGGGGAAACAAATCCTCTAAAAAGCAAACGAAAACAGAAAAGCTGAATGTGTTCCTATGTGGAAGGAGGAGGAGATTTGGGGCTGCCTTTCTCAGGCAAGAGTTGGATCTGACAGCAGCAACAGAACATGTAGAGAAACGAAGCAGGCAGAGGAAGTCAATCAGACATCTTCACTTGCTTTCTCTAGAAAAGCAAGATGGTTGCAAATTTTGTTTCTGCTGGAGCCCTGTGGATAAGAGGAGACCGCACTTGCAAGGGTCAGGGGAGGTAGCTGTTGCTCAAACCTCCTCAGAGCCATGTGGCTGAGCTTCACTCCTGGACTGAGAATTCCAGTGGTGACCCAAAACAAACCAGCTAGCATTGCTCAAAGAGGGAGACAGGATTTCTACTCTGGACATGTCAAGCTTGAAAACATCTTCTCTGCCCTGTTTTCAATGCATCTCAGGCTGAGTACACGAAGTGCCACATGCTGGGTCACCTGGTAGAGCCACATCTTGAGGCTGTGTGACCCTGTGTGGTCATCAGCTGCTGGGTCACAGGAGGCCAGGGAGGATAGGCTGGGCACTACCCAGAACAGCCTGGTCAGTTGGAAGGTGTTCCTGCCCATGGCAGGTGAGTTGGACATTTGAAGTCCCTTCCAATCCAAACCACTGTGTGATTCCATGAATCTGGGCAGGTTTGATTAAGCTAACAAGACATGAGAGCTTAAGGGATGCTGTCTGCAGACATTCAGTAACCTGGTAAAACAGTGAGATAATATTTGTTATCTCTTAGCCGCCAAGTTGTCCCAAGTTTTCATGCTTCTACAACCCTGCCAGCCCTCTGCTTGAAGCAGCAAGGGTAAAGTTTGGAATTTCTAAAAGACCCCTCAAATAGCTTAAGAAATTATTTGAGTTTTCCATCCTAATGCAGGAAATCTTTTTCCTGATCAAAAGAGACACCAGGGTGTGGCAGGCGCACCTGTGGCAGCAGTAAGAACTTAAAGCTTTGGGTATGAACAGGATCACACAGTGATCTGAGTAACCCGAGATGTGTCCCAGCCACACTATCTCTGCCAGGTTTCTGCCACAGGCCAGATCTGATCTTCTGATGGTGTTTAGCATCAGCAGGTTCAGAAACGTCATATCTGCACTTCCAGAAGTAAGTGGGACTTGTGCAGGGAATGACTGCAGCCCTGTGGAGTCACCCATCTCTCCCTATCGTGTGAAGAAGAGACCTGGCTGATGAGCCTGGCTGGTTAGGATTCTAATTCTGCTTTGTTGGCTGATGCAGAGAAGCTTTAGATTACAGTGAGAAGTAGGACAGGGAAGCTGGATGGAGAGGTAGTAACAGGATAGCCAGGGGAGGATATGAACTTAGGTATGAATCTTCACTTTACTGCTTCTTCAGCCATATCCTTGGAAGATTTTACTTTCTCTGGAAGCAGCAATAGTTCAGGACAAATGTTTTTGGGTTTTTTCCCTCCAGGTTGGAGAAGAATGGAAATCCTTATGATTCTTAGCATCTTCCCAAGGCCAGAGCTGAGAACAAACACGGCTTGTAATATTGATTGTAGATGCTCTCTCTCAACATTGCAAATTTCTGTCTCCTGGTGTCTGCACAGCCTTCATGTGTTGCAGGAGCATCAGGCTGAGTGACAGTCTTGCTGAGGCTTTCATCCTGGGGCACTGAAAGAAGAAAGAAAATTCAGTGTCTCCCCCTCAAAAATCCCCATAACAGATGATTGGGTGAGGCTTTCATCCTGATGCATTGAAAAGAGCAAGAACACATGGTGTCTCCCCCTCAAAAGTCCCTTACAAGACATGATTTCTTTGCAGTCTGGGCAGAGTAAAGAAAATCCTGCTGCTTAAACAGGCTATTTTGTGACAACTGCTGTGCACGAATGATGGCTGGAAGGCAGAGACAGTCACAAATGGATCCATCAGCTCTTTGGGGTCCTAAAATAACATGGCCCTGGAGGAGCTGGCTGCAGCTCTTGGTGAGGCGGCAAGCCTGGGAGCTGTTACTCACCCTGAGGTCCAGCTGTTTCACCCGTGGTGGGGTGACAGTGTCCTCAGCATCCACTTCACCCTCCATCCTGGCAGCATGGAGCCACTTCACTCAAAGTGCATTCTTTGGCACCCATCTGCACTCTTGGGCCATACATGCAAGGGAAAAGAGGGGGAAAGAGGGGAAAAGAGTGATCAGTGCCCCATAAATCTGACGCCACCTCTGCATGGGGACAGATGCATATGGTGGGATGCTGTTGGTTGTGTTCTCCCTGGGCTGAAGGGGAACACCCTGCTGAAAGGCTCCCAGGGCAATAGGTGGCTGCAGCTGTGGGCTCCCTGCCAGCAGCTGTGCCCAGAGTGGGATCTGGAGGCTGATCTCACAGCCAAGACAGCGCCATTCATCGGCACTCAATAAACAAAAGTGCCTCGCTGTTTTATCCAGGAGATAAGCATGGAGGGCATGAGATTGCTTTCCCTTGTGTTGTCTGTGCTGAGCGTGGGAGCCTGTGTTGGCTGCCAAAGGAGCTGAGGCACTGCTGCTGTGGCACATGCTGTGGACAGGCAGGGAACAGAGCTGCTGGGTGTCAGCTGGAGCCTCACAGGTACTGAGCACTGTGAGATGCTGGTGCTCACTGGAGGCCGCCAGCCCTGCAGGACACGTTGCAGGAGCTGGGCCACTGTTTAAGCCAGGTCATGACATGTTACTCATTAGAATGCTAGGGTCAAGCCAGCTGCTTTAAAAGTCACTTAAAAAAAGAAGAAAATTCTACTTTATATTTTTTTTTAACATGCACTTGTATGCTTTGAGCATCAAGGACTTTATTCCCACTAATTGTTCAGCATTTGAATCAAATAGCTACTAAGAAGATGTCTGCAGCCTCTCTTCAAGGAGTAATGGGCAGAGAGGACAGATAGACCACATACACTGGGTTCACTGGTGGTCTTGCAGCTTGAGCTTTTGGAGACAACAGAGCCAGGTTTGGGGTTAAGCTGTCCCCTTCTTGCACTCTCCAGCTGATCTACATCCTCTCTCACTTCTGTAATGTCAAGTGCCTGCACCAAAAATGAAACCAGACCTGCTGGGTCAGTGGTTTCTGGGTGCTTCCTGCCATCCAAGCCGATGGCCAGCTGTGAATCTGTTCATTTTACTCATTCTGTTTGACTATACCCTGGATGCCTCCCCTGACACCTCTGCGCTGTTACCTTTGGCAACACATCCTGTGGTCTCAGTGGAGAACAAGATCAGGCTTGGCTGGGATTGATTTTTCCAGAAAACGATGTTGACTGGTGCTAATTACATTACTGCCTCTTCAATATTTATCAGTTAAATTGCCTACCAGTGCTCTGAGAATCATGTCCAGAATGGCCACCAGGCCAAGGGAACAGTGACAAAGCTTGCCCAATTTTACTTTTTTAATTGTTGGTTTAATAACCACACTCACCAGGCACTTGGGGATTTTACCAGCAGCCCACAATTTATTAAAACAGAAAACAATACAAATGGGGAAGGAAACTGAAAAGGGAGACCTCGTGAAAGCCTCTTTCTTTGCAGCAGGCTCAACTTGATCCATGTCCTTGTAGGGCTGAACCAGCCAACAGGTGGGTTGAAAGCAGTGGGCTGAAAGCAGTGCAGGATTTTGGGACTCTCACAGGACAAGCTTTGTGACAAGCACAGACCTGGTATAATGCCCCGGTGTGCACCACGATCACAACAATGTAGCCTTGTACAGGAAGGAGATCCTGAGCTGTGCTCTTCACCTTGTATCAGACACAGACAGTGCTGCTTTTGAAGCTCCATTTTGTACCAAACAGTTTTAAATCTCTTTTGTGTCTGTCAGGAGAAAAAATTTATGTCTGAAAGCAGAGGAAACCTTGACAACCTGGCACTCACTGAATGCGAACTTTCTTCCTTTGCCTTCCTTTTTTATCCCCTCTCTTAAATGCTGCCGGAAGAAACAGGCCCTTTGTGCCATGCAGGTTACAAAGAGCAGTTGTTCTTACTGAAAATAAAAATGTGTGATTGCAATCCTCCTGGGACACAGCACAAAGATGGACAGAGTTAACCTCTTCTTTGCCAGGGGATGGTAATGTACGGCCAGCACATCTACGCTGTGATAAACAGTAACATCTATACCTCAAACCACACTGAATTCAGGTCAGCTTTTGACTGAGAGGGTACAGCACAGTGAAACCCACTGATGCCTTCACAAAACAGGACAGAGTGGGGATACACCACCACCAAGGAAAGGGGTGGGAAGCAGTTTTGCAGCTGGGGAGTGAAAAGACCACAACTCTCCCACACTGTTTCGCTGTTCCCCAAACTGGGAATTCCCACAGCAGTGCCCACCACAGCAGCCTGCCTGCAACCCAGGCCTTGCTCTCTGTTTTCCCAAGGACATGGTGGAGATAAGACTGTGGGGTTGGATAGACTATTCTGGCATCTCCCTGCCCACTGCTCTTGAATTTTTCTCTTGTGCTGGATGCTTATCCAATATACACCAATAAAATGGCCACAGTGCACTGGTCTCCTTCCTTGGCCAGGCATCACTCTTCTGGAGGGAGCTTTCCACCTCCAGTGCTGTATCTTCTCATGCTGTGCTCAGCCCAGGTTGAAAAGTGCATGAGAAAAGCTCGTCCCCCCTTACACCTATATCCAACTCATTAGCATTAGCTTCTGATGCTTTGCTGGCCTCTGGTTTACATCTTCTTCTCACCTCGGGTTCCAGGTCCCTGACTGTGGTAACAAGCTCCTCTTGTCTTCAGATGTGGTGTGTGAACAACTGTGATGTTTCTGGGGTGTTCATTGCAACTCCATATAATTGTCACTTCTCCCGTGTACACAATGTCCTCATTAGCCCTACATGCTCCTGGGAGCACCCTTGTATGCACTCTTTTCTAGTCGCCTCCGATTCATTGCACAGGATAACTGTGCTTTGATGCTCTGCCAGCTTCCACGAGCCCTTGGTACAGAGCTGGTAATCCCACACTCACCTAGGGCCTGGTGAATGTGAGCAGTGAGGGAGGCTCTTAAAGATGTATTCCCCCTGGAGATCTTTCCCCCTTTTCCTGGTGGATGCTACAGAATCACAGAATGGTTTGGGTTAGAAGAAACCTTAATCTGATTCTAACCTCCTCTGGTGGACACCTTCCACTAGACCAGGTTACTCAGAGCCCCATCCAGCCTGGCCTCGAATACTGATGGGGATGGGGCATCCACACCTTCTCTGGGCAACTTGTTCCAGTGCCTCACCACCCTCACCACAAAGAACTTGGTCATCCCAAGAGGCACAGAGATCTGTTTAGCTGCTGCTGTCCTCCTCGTCTTCATGCTTAATTTCCAAGGCCTGATGAAACGACCTCTGTGGATGTTTTGTCCCAGCAAGGACTTAGGTCACATAATGCTCCTGAGAACTCCAGGTCCACAGTGGAGCCTGCTAACCCCAAAAATCAATGCCTGCCAGTGTCATGGTGGCTTTCATGAGGGGTAGCAGGAAGCACAGCATGGTGACCCGAATGGCCTGGGTGGTATCCTGAAGGGAATGACAGACTCACAGAACATGTTGAGTTGGAAGGGACCCACAAGGATCATCCAGTCCAAATCCCGTCCTTGCACAGAACATCCCCTGGATGCACACCCTGCGCCCAAGAGCATTCTCCAAACACTTCTTGAGCTCTGTCAGGCTGGTGCTGTGACCACTTCCTTGAGGAGCCCATTCCAGTGCCCAGCCACCTTTTTCTAATGCCCAGCCTACACCTGCCCTGGCACAACTTCAGGCCGTTCCCTCGGGCACAGATGACAGAGGCATTATTTCTCCCCCGCTGTCGCTCGGCCCGTGTCCTGCCGTGTGCCGCCTCGCAAGATGGCTGTGGGCGGGGGCCGGGGCTGCT